GTGTGTGTGTGTGTGTGTGTGTGTGTGTGTGTGTGTGTGTGTGTGTGATTTGTGAGTACATCGGTAACCGAAATAAACGCTAGCGATGCCGGCTTTATCTCTATGATTTCATCGGGTGATATAAAACACCATGTACGTAAATAAACAGCCGATAGAGCCGTTGTATCAAACGTGACTTTTTATGTTTGCATGTATTTATGAGGGGAGATTTCGTTCAATTTTCTCGCATTTGATATACTTTTGGATGATGAAATAGCCGAGAATTTCATTTATTTAATAAGTTTAACTATTTAATTGACAAGAATTTCGTTCACAACATCTTTTTTTTTCTTCACTAAAAAAACCATTTTACTAAAAAAAATAAAGCACACCCAAAATGAGGGAAAACGTCCCTTTGACAACCACGCAAAAACAGTAATTTCATCAAATTAAATTATTGAAAATCCAAACGAAAAGGAAAAACGATTAAATTCGTTGAAATGAATGATGCTGATTATTATTATGCTCTTTAAAAGTGTGTCTCTATTTCATTCATCAACCTCAATGGTCTATTTTCATTCATCATTTTCATAATCAACCCGCGATTTAAGCATGTGGTTTCTTTTTTCATTCACACACACACTCACACGTACTGTGTTGATTGAGAGCATGCCATGCTGTGTCATACATGTATGTACTTATGTCAGTGAATTTTGTCAAATGTTGTTCATATAATAAAATGTTTTCGAGAACTGTATGATTGATGGTTCAGCAAAGAGTGACCGGTGCTAAAACACACTCGGTCCATAAAACGGTATGTATATTGTCAGATCTTTCCGCTAAAGCGTCAATCAATTTAGTTAGTTTTTATGTTGGTGCGTCAGATAGTATATTATGTATTTATGTTTTTTGTTGTGGAAACGAAAACATGAAATATATAATAAGTTTGTACAAAGTCAAAAATTGACTCAAGTGAAGAGTTCGGTTTTTGTTTTGAAATTAACCGTGAAAAAAAAATTGTGAAAAATTGTTGGCATTTTTATATATGTATATATATTCTTTAGCGGTGAAGTGTATTAGATAAATCGCTGCATGTGCAACGAGCCAGTGTATATAGTGTAGCGGTGACGAATAAAGTCTTTTATAAACGTTTAGAATTCACCAAAAAAAGATTGACAGTTGCACAGTTGCACGAAGCTAATCAATGTGTGCTTAATGTGATATTGAGCGATGGGCATTTTCTAACGTGGTTGGTGTTACCGCCGCCACTGCCACGATTGTTGGCTGTCGGTGGTTGGCCACCATAATTCAAATTATTGATACTTCTACTATTCATTGTATTGCCATTATATTGCTGATGGACTGGACTTGATATACCAGAAGTAGAGGTTAATCTTACCATGCCTGATCCAAGTGTTTGCAATAGGCCACTGCCCGAGTTCAATGGTCCCGATGACAAGCACGTTGACGTACGCCGTGATCGAATCGACTGCATGCTACTCGATAACAAAAATGGTACACTGCTTGACGTATTTGGCATCGAACCTCCCTGTTTAAATGACAATATAGATACATTGAAAGAGTGAAAATGACAAATTTTAAGCGCAAATACGTATAAAAAATTAGTTAGAGTGGACCAAATCAAAATTACTTACTATCATATTTCGTGCGAGCTGCAATTTTGATGCATTGGCGTGAGCAGATTGGTGATGTGGAAAAAAGGAGTACGAAAAAACACAAAGAGAAAAAAAACGTTTTTTTTATCAAAATAAAAGCGTTTGTTATGGTTTTGTTTTATAGACTGTTGACAGAGAAACAACGAGCTCATACACAGAATAACACGACAAATAGTTAGGTACATATTCAGTATGTGTGTTGTATTGAAATCATTATCAACACACCAAGCGCAAACATTTCAAATATTTGTTACATTTAGACGTCATTTCTTGAGCGTACTAGAGAGATAGCGATGCGATGGCAACGTGTGTGTAGATATTTCACATGCAATATTGCATACATAACGACAGCATTTACACACAAGCGTTTCACACCGAGACACATTTGTGAATACGTTATTTCCTTGATGTGATGCGACGACAACAGGCCTCATTCATACATATATAAATATATATATATATATATTCGTTTTAGAAACGATTGTTCACAATTGTTCTTTGTTTATGTTGTACAAAATGGTACATCCAACAAGCACTAATAAATCAGCTGACAATTTACATTCAACATTAAAATGTGGTGTAGCTTTCTCTTATGTAAATCGCCACTCTGAATGTAATTCACGCTTATTTGTGCTTCTTTTCACTTTATTTGAGAAATTCATGCGTTTTTCCATAGCTAAAACTAATTTTGAAGAAACAAACGAAAAAAAAAAAACACAAGCAGAGTACAAGTGAACAACACCATTTTTATATGAAATTTGAAACATATTGTCCGGTATGACGCGACAAATCATACGAAAAAATAACTTGAAAAACAACAGCGAATAAAATAATAATTAACAACAGATGTCCCCCACGTTGGCCATGTGTTTGGTAAAAGTTCATTGATTTAGCATGAAATGTATATTTTTACCATATCTGGAAAAATCAGGGGGGACTGGAAAAATCAGGAGGATGGGGGGTAATTTCCTCAAAAACTCCTAGCAAAATAGGAAATTTTCAGGAATGATCCAAAAACCCTAGCAAAACGGGAAATTTTTTATACAAAATCATGAATTTTGTAAAGGGGTAACGCAAAAATTTGATGTCTCAGGAGGGGGTAATACACCCCCTCCCCCTGTCTGCCCAGCTATGATTATTACAGTTGGGCTTAAATTTGAACGAGAATCAAAATGAACAATGGCATCAAGAACAATGAAAGTAAGCGACAAAAAAACCGGACACATGACAGCAGGCACTCGAAAAAAGAGTTTTCTATCATTTCTCTTCTCATTCTGTTGTTGTTGTTGGTTTTTTCCATTGTTCAGTCACAGTGAAATGTTGATTGATTTGATTATTTTATGATGATGAAGGCATTCATGAACGGCAAACAGAAGTGTTGCAGAGAAGAAGAAAAAATTAACAACTAAACAAACCAACACCAAATGAATGTGAAACAATACTATTGTGGACAAAAAATACCGGTAATTTATTAATAAAATGAAAACTCTTTATTTATTCTTCAAAATCGATTTCGTCGCCTTCAAAGTAATCCCCCCCGGCTGCAATGCACATACGCCAACGTTTTTTCCAGTCCTCGAAACAGTGTGTGAAGTCACTTTCTGGTATAGCCTTCAAAACACGTAGCGATTTGCGTTGAATCTCTTCTATCGACTCGAAACGGTGTCCCCGGAGTGGTCTTTTGAGTGTAGAAAATAGCCAGAAGGCACACGGTGCTAAGTCAGGCGAATAGGGTGGTTGCGGAACGATACGACTTGAATTTTTGGCGAAATGATCACGAATAACTAATGCAGTACGAGCCGGTGCATTATCGTGATGCAAAAACCACGCGTTGTCTGTCCATAATTCCGGCAGCTTTTTTCGAATTGCTTCACGCAAAGGACGCATAACACCCAAATAACATTCCTTGTTAACAGTTTGGTCAGTTGGAAGAAATTTAGAATGCACCACACCACGATAATCGAAGAAAAATGTTAACATAACCTTGAGATTGGACTTGCATTGTCGTGGTTTTTTCGGCTTTGATTCGCCTTTGGCACGATATTCGCTCGACTGATCGGCAGTTTCGGGGTTGTATGCATAAATCCAAGTCTCATCTCCCGTAATGATGCATTTCATGGCCGATTGATAGTCAGAAATCATTTCTTGGCACACATTAACACGATTCTCTTTTTCAAAGAAATTCAACGATTTTGGAACTAATCGAGCAGCTCAACGTCTGAGGCCTAAATGGTCTTTCAAAATTGTTTGGATCGATCCTTTTGAAATGCCAACAATATTGACAAGGTCTCTAGACGTTAATCGACGATTTTGGAGCACAAGATCTTTGATTTGCTTGACGTGTTTCTCATCAGTTGATGTTGATGGTCTTCTTGGACGTTCTATGCCTTCTTTGAACTGTTTGTACCACTTATACACACTATTTTGCGACATGGCCTGTTCACCGAAGGCCTTCTCCAACATCCTTAACGTTTCTACAGCAGAAATTTCATTCCGCATACAAAATTTAATGCAATATCTTCGTTCCAAATGTTCTGTCATTATGAAAATCGCCAAATGAAAATTTATCGGTGTAAACAAACAAACGTAACCAAAAACCTCATGGAGATATTGACATGAAATTTTGTACAGATGTCAAAGACAGTGCCACCAACCTATAAGATTTCATGATTACTTTTCCGCGCGAAATTTTATTAATAAATTACCGTTTTTTTTTGTCCACTATAGTACAAGCGCATGGGTGTTCACTTCATTCACTGTTTCTTCTTTATTTATCTATCTTTTGCATGAATGTTCATTGTTTTCCCAAAAGCGCATCGCGCGACCATATTTTTTTTACACATAATCCAAGCACGTTTATCTTATGATGTTATCTCTCTGCACTTAACGTTGACGGGACTTTTTTTGTGCAGTACACATAGTCATAAACACACAACAACACTACAAACATAAAGTGTATAAATGTTGATGTGGGGACAAACATCAATTAAACGTGCAAATATTTAATGAAAAAAATTGGTTACAAAATAAATTTTATACGGTCTATAAATTAAAATCAGGCTCATTCGATTCCATAACGAAATCTGTTTCGAGATGGGGGGAAAACCCGAACTTTTCACTACGAATAATTTGCTGAAATGTCACACCAACATTGATTGAGGTTCATTAAACATTCAGTAAATTCATAACGTAATCAAAAACGATGACAACAAAATGCACCAAACAACTTATGAAAAATGCAAACAAATATTTTGTTTTGTTTAAATTCTTAAAATGTATACGTTTATGAGGAAATGTGTAAGGTTTTTCTTTTTTTTAACATTCTTTGGATAAAGTTGATTTTTTTGTGGGTGGAATATATATATATATATATATATATATATATATAGGGTGGCGCATATAATAGGCTCACTCTTAGGGGGTGAGAATTTTGAAAAACCCTTTGGGGGGTATGTTGGGGGTAAAAAATTGAAAATTTCTATCTGAGCAGAATTTTTAATTTTTCCCCAGGGGGGATGGGGGTGTCCCAAATTTTCCAAAAGTGTATCGGATCAAAAAATGATGTACTACAAAGTTGTTCAGAATGACGAGAGAAATTTTTTAGGAGCCCTGCCCTCCAAGTCCCCCCACCCCTTAAGGGGGTCGGGGGGTCAAAAACCCCCCAAGATATGATTTTTTTGACCT